GCGTCCCCTGCGCCCCACGCGCCGGCGGGGTCCCCCGTCTCCCGTGTTGGCATTCCCTCCGCTAGTGAATCATGGCCCATACACCGTAGCAGCCCTTCTCGCTCCCCCTTTCTTCTAAAAGGCGTCCTTCCTTCTGACGTTGGCTACTCTACGACCCAGAGACCCTCTTCCCGGGACACCCTCTACATGGACTTAACCTCGAATCCCTTGGTGCAGAATATCCAGCGCCGTATATGTCAGGGTGGACTGTCACCGCCTTCTTGAGTATGGAGCCTCACGCGGCATCCATTTCTGCAGGCGAGGCTTGATTTGTAGAATATGCAGGGGCGCACCTTCTTTCTCTGACCTGGACGCTGTTTGTTAGCCTAGCTCAAGCAGGCATGTATGTCTTAAGGTGTTGTGCAGCGCCCTCAGCTCCGTGCGGGCCTTCCTGATACTAGATTAGGGGCCGGGAGGGAGGAAGGAACAGGGGACCCTGTTCCTTGCAACTGTTGTCAAGGTAGTCCTCCACTCTGTATTTGGGGAGGTGATGCTTTTGGAACCAAACTTCGGACTTACGCTTAGGGGGAAAGAATTTTCTCTTCCCGGAGCAGGTTCCTAAGAGCAGAACTTCTCCCCTGTCTTTTTGTTTGGCACCCTTACTCCTGTTTTGAGCCTACATGGTGCTTCATTCTTTTACTTTTGAGTCCATGGTACAAACAAGTGCTCTAATATTCCTTATACTGTAGAACAAGGTTCTCCCACAATCCCCTTTCATAACTGTCCTGCCCACACCCATTCCACACCCAAGTTAACTGCTTGCCTGTTTTGTTCATCTAATTCCTCCAAGATAGATGTGTCCCTCACCTTGCATTTTGAACACAGACTCCCAGGTAACAATCCTAAACTGTCCTAATTTCTGAACTCAAAGGTTCCTCACAAAGCTCAAGTTTCTTTATATATCTAGAGTATGTAACAAACCTATCAAAAAGGCTAAGAAAGTTTTAATGACAATACCAAATGGCACAGTTTTAATGACAATGTTTGTGAGGATGTGGAGGAAGTGGGTCACTCATATATTGCTGGTGGGAATGTAAAATGGTAGTCCCTGCCGGCCTGTTGTGCCTTCATTCTCTGGCCATCATTTAAAACTATATTGTTACACAATGGAGTAATTTTGTAGTAGAAGCTATAGGAAGCCCCGTGGAATTTTGTATATAGGGATAGTGCTTTCAAATAGTCACGCTATATCTTCTCAATCTATCACATGTTTAGTAACGTCTTGTCTTATTCCAGCCTCAGTCTCTCCCACCCATTATTTTTTCATCGAATGGAGCGGCCCACAAAGGCCCTTCTTAGAGCAATAAGAAGAAAGCAAGGATGTCTACTATCACAACTCCTTTCAACATTGTATCAAAAGTCGCAGCTACTTCAATAAGACAAGAAAAATAGATTAAAAGTATACATATTGGTAAAGAAGAAATAAAACGTTCACATATGACATGAGTGGCTATATAAAAAATTCAAAAGAATAAACAAAAAAAAATTCTGGAACTCATAAACAATTATAGCCAGGTTGTAGGATACAAGGTTAAATATACAAAAGTTAATTGCTTTCTCATATACTAGAATTTAAAATTTTTAAAAATCATTTACATTAGCACCAAAAATACTTAGGTATAAACCTAATAAGATATTACAATATCTATGTGAGATAAACTACAAAATTCTGATGAAAGAAATCAAGGAACATTTAAGTATACATATGGAGAGATATTTCATGTACATGGAAAAGAAGACTCGATATTTTCAAGTTGTCAGTTCTTTCCAATTTAATCCATAAGTTCAACACAATCAAAATCCCATTTGTAAATATCAACAAACTAAGTATAAAGTTTATATGTAAAGGGTAAGAGAACCAGAATAGCCAACCCAGTATTTAAAAGAGAAGAACAACACATCTGCAGTCCATTTATGGCTTAGGCCAGAAGACACCCGTTGGCAAATTTTGCTCTAAGAAAACAAGAGAGAAAAGGTGTATTTTAATGATAGTTGAAAGTACCTTCATTGTGAAAAATCATGAGTGGTATACTGATTAATTAGCAAATTTGGAAATAATTATTTCTATTGCTGGCATGATGTGGTGAAATCTGGAATGTTCTGCCAATGCAGGTTTCACCAGAAGTTGTTATAGTCCTTTTCTAAAACAACTTATCCAGCCCAACCGGTATGACTCAGTGGTTGAGCATTGATCCATGAATGAGGAGGTTAAGGTTAGATTCCCAGTCAGGGTACATGCCCAGTTTGTGGGCTTGATCTCCAGTGGGGAGTGTGTAGGAGGCAGCTGATCGATAATTGTCTCTCATCATTGATATTTCTATCTCCCTCTCCCTCTCCTTTCTTCTCTGAAATCAATAAAAAAATATATTTTTTAAAAAACCAACCAAACTGCCTTAACCGGTTTTGCTCAGTGGATAGAGTATTGGCCTGCGGACTGAAGGGTCCCAGGTTTGATTCCCATCAAGGGCATGTACCTTCTTTGTGGGCACATCCCCCAGTAGGGAGTGTGCAGGAGACAGCTGATCAATGTTTCTCACTCATCGATGTTTCTAACTATTCCTCTCCCCTCCTCTCTGTAGAAAATTGCTGTATAAAAATGTTTATTACTAGATTGTTTATAAAAGCAAAACATGGAAAGGATCTGAATATCCATGTAATAGGAGAATGATTAAATAACCTTTAATCAACTCAATGGGATGTGATTGCAGCCTTTAGGAAGTTTGATTGTAATTGGAATTGTTGTTAGTAAACATTATCACAGCTATTTCAACATAGTACTGTATGAAAAATAATGATTTCTGCACAGCAAAAGAAACCAGCATCATAGTGAAAAGGAAACCCACTGTATGGGAGAACACATTTGCCAATGCTTCATCTGATAAGGGGTTAATTTCCACAATATGTAAAGTACTCATACAACTCAACAAAAGACAAACAAGCCAATTACAAAATGGGCAGAAGACCTGAATAGACACTTCTCCAAAGAGAACATACAAATGGCCAAGAGACATGAAAAAATGCTCAATGTCACTAATCATAGGAGAGATGGAAATTAAAATCACAATGAGGTACCACCTCAAACCTGCCAGAAGGATCTCTTACCCTTTGAGACAGCATGGAGGAACCTAGAGAGTATTATGATAAGCAAAATAAGCTAGTCAGACAAGTATCCTCACATGATCTCACTTACATGTGGAATCTAGTGAACAAAATAAACTGATGAACAAAAAAGATCCAGAGCCACTGAAGCATGCAACAGACTGATGTATTTCAGAGGTAAGGGTGGGACTGGAAGCGGTTAACCTATGATCTTACATGCATGTATTCATGGCCCATAGACAGACAATAGTGCAGGGAAGGCCTGGGGAGGGGAAAGGAGTAGGGTAGAAGTGACAGTGGGCGGCGGGGCGGGGGGGGGGGGCATCTGTAATACTTTCAATAATAAAGATACATTTTTTTAAAAAAGAATCAACACAAAAGCTTCCAACATCACACTTTCCATTTAACCTTCACAAGTTTGTCCATACTCACCCCTTAGCTTGGAATAAATGAATTAGTGTACAAATACAACTATGTAAACATCATATGTGAATATGCAGATACTGGCAAGGCATTAAAATGGGAAAGCCACATGGTAAGATTTAGGATTTTCTTTTTAATTTTTCAATACCTACCAGTGTTTGTGCAATAATTTATCTTTGAATGTGAACAGTGCTATCATCTCCCCATTTATTAGGATTTTAAGAGACTTGAATGATTACCCTTGAACAATTATTATAGTACCTACAATGGCAGAAGAAATGTTGAGAACCAAGGTGCTTATCTAGATAATTCAACATCCTGCACCTCCCTCCAGATAATCACTTCTTAAAACTTATATAGATAATTGAAACAGTTTTCCCCCCTTAGATCAATCTCAACTCTTTGCTGGTTAAAGTCTGTTACAGCAATGCTTCTCAAAGTTTATTTGCATGTGAATCACCTGCGGATCTCCTTAAAAGATGTGCTTTGACTTGGTAGATTTAGGGTGAGTCCTGAGACTCTTCATTTCTAACAAGCTCTGGGTAATGCCTGTGCTGCTTGTCCAAGGGCCTTGCTTGAGTAACAAATCCTACAACATTTGAGTAATTTACTTACCCAATTGAATCCAGATAATGCATGTACTTATATATATGTGTGTATGCATATACATATGTGTGCATACATATCCATACACACACATACATATATTTTAAATGGTCTGTCAATCTTGGCTATCAACATCAAGCAAATTTTGGAAATTTCCCATTTTATACTGTAATTTATGCTGTATAAACAGCCTAGTTTCCTAATTTTTGAAACGGAGATAAACAGTAAGTCAATGTTCCTAAATTCTGTGGGAAAAAAAGAGAAATGTTGAATACGATCATTCTTGGCAGAGGTTTGACTTGTTCAATGATGAGAGCAAAATCTGGTTGTATGTGTTCAAAAAGCATCAATAAACTCTCGTAACTTGCTGATGGAATTGACATCTAGCACTCTTCCTTCTCACAGTCAGTGCTCAACAAACACTGGCTCAGTGAATGCCGCATGAACCCCCACAGCTATAAGTCTTACGAATGCATCCTATGCAGCAATTTCTAGCTACTGGCTGAAAATATTAGTTTTTTTTCTTGATGCTTTCAAATGATAACTTTATCAACTTCAAGTATGATGAAAGTATTCATTTTGTAGAAAATCTTAAATCAGTGAGATGCTGTTTTCTATAACATAGTACTTGAATTGATAATATCTTCCAGAATCGGTGAGTAACTCTCAACAAATTTTATTTTCCAAACACTGTCCTCAGCAAAAATAATGCTGAGAGGTCAGGGCACATCTGCAGAGTGTGAAAAGGCAGCATCTGAAATACTCTTTATGCATTCCTTTCCCCCACTGAATAGGGATTGTTGCCATAGTAATGTTTTAAAAACACTCCTAGATCAATATTAGAACTGCAGAAAGTATCTCACATATGCTAAGCTATTTGTGAGTCTAAACCTATACCCTTATTTTTGTTTATTTGCTCAACTGTGGAATAAATATGTGAGGAATTCCTCATGACTGGTCAGTTCTATAATGTGAAGAATTAGTCAATAAACCATCAAGTGTCCTGTGACTACTTCTCAGGTAGAGGTCTATGCCAGGTGCCAGAAAACAACAATGTCAAATGCAGGGGCCCTGGATCGGTCAATCTGGTGGGGGGGGTTGGGGGGGGGAGCATGCCAAATGCACCAGGGGGACAGGGATCCCAGCGGTGTCTTAAAATGCACACTCTGATTTTTGCTATGTTATATTTCAGAGTTCACCTAAGAAAATCAAATATTTTTCTTTTTTCACTGTCCTACTCATCTTTAACTTCCCATAATTCCAACCTGTCCACATAAGTATCACACACACCCTGCACAAAATATGAAAAATGAGTTGTAATTTCTTATACTACAGAAGGTTGAGAAACATTCAGATGGTTTAGAAACAAGAGCTAGAAGAAAAAACAAATACCAATTCTGTGCTTCCTTCTGTAACAAAGCTACACATACATAGGCTGTGCTTATTATGCCCCAAGATGTAGACATTTATTCCAAAAAAGCCTATTATCTTCAAGTACTGTTACACAGAGCTTCTCAAATGATCCCAGTGACGAATGGCTCCTGAGGCGCTGGGTGAGAAGGGGCCTGGGTTCCAGCTGCAGCATTGCTTCTAGCCACATGGCCCTGAACAAGTCATTTCATCTTTCCTGAGTCAGATTTCATGTGTAAAAATGATGAAGCTGTACTTCACAATCTCTGAGCCCCCATCTAACTATAAATCCCTCTGGCTCCATGAAACAGAGTAAAATACGGGATTCCTTCATCATGCTTTGTTGTTT